AACGTGTTCGTCTTCACTGAAGACTTGTTGGTCTTGACGTAGGACTTGTTGTACTTGACTGAAATGCTAAATCAATCCATGATGTAAACAGGTCAGATTGGATTTAAATCTGAATATAAGATTAAGACGTGCTGAACACCTGCTTGTTTGTGAATTCCTCTGTTCTCCAGCACAGAGAAGCTTCTCCAACATAATTCCTTGTAAACCATTCAGAGTCAGACTGGGAGACACAGAGCTTCTTGTAAATTCAAAACGATGCATTCAGGCACCATTAGAATTTCCAGGATCAAACATGTGTATTCTTTAAATATTGAAGGGACTGCAGGGAGCAGCGATCATCTGCATCTTGGCCGTACATCTCTTCTCTGCCTCGGCTGGTTGACATCCTCGGCTCTCTCCGCTCGCCGTTCGAGGCTCATTTATTGCCGCCGTACAGACGTGTAATCAGTCTTTACTACCGGAGCAAATGTCTCCCATCGGACAGATCCCCTGCCGCCTTTCTGCTATTAAAATTAAATTGGATTTCATTTCTAAGCTCCTATTAATTCAGAGAAGTTGATGGAGGGTCCAGTCCAGCAGTTGGTTTTCCTCCTCCTCCTCTCTTTCACATCCTTCTATTGCTTTCCGGCCAGCGGCGTGATCGCAGAGCTCCACGGCTCTAATAACGCTAATTAGTCAGTGAAAATCTTTGGACGGACTTTACAGAGTCTTCAAATAAAAGATGACAACGCCTCTCCACTCTGTTATTCAATCACGGGTAATGAGATGGAGCCAAATGTATTTCTTTATGTGAATGGGTTAGTTAACGTGTCTGATTTCACCTTCCCATAATCCTTTGTGAGTTTCTTTCTGCCTGGCGGCAAGGACGAACTCGGGAACCTTTGATTAAAAAGAGTAAAGAGCTTACAGAATGTAGTTAAGTTTGTTAACTTGCCTCGCTGTTTCTTTCTGCTGTACCTTCTCAGTGTTTGATGTTTTCTGTCATATTTGTGCCTCATTAGAAGCAGAGCCTAACGATGATGATTAATGAGTCCGTCGATCACTTTCTCAACAAATATTGTCATGAAATCCACGGTGATGTCTTTGGTCCCCAGAGGAGGAAACTTACTGAAGCATATCATATGGAAGCTCTTTGAATTCACCAATGTGGAAAAAAAACAGTAATTAAAAAATATATATAATTTCAACATAAAAAAAATATTCTTTTAATTACAAGATCTGTACGGATCCGTAGCAAAGTGTTTGATGTGTTATTGAGCAGCTGGAAGCCTCATGTATCCCCCAAAATAACATCAGTGTTCTTCAGCACATCGCTAACGACGCCACTTATTTTTAGACTGCAAATGAGTTTCTAGGAATGGAAGGTCCAATGGGGATTGCTAATGGATGGAGGTGCTGAGGAACCTAGAGCGGAGGGTAACACATGATGATGATGATGATGAAGAAGAGGTTTGGGTTGGATGAAATGAAACAAACAGCAATGGGACGGGGCTAAAAGTACCTACAAGGAAATTAGATGAGTATCGATTTTTGTGTTGGACCTAAATTGTTCATAACTCTCTAAAAAATGCATTAATATAAAAACTGAACATTTTTTCTTTTTTTTATAAAGACCTTACAGGAGCCTTTCTATCATATCACATGATCTTCATCATCTGCATTCTTGACATTTGAAACAGTACAAAATACATGTTCTGGAGTTTGCCATCGTATCGCTCGACGACCCATCGTGTGTTTTTAACGTTGATCGCTTCAGTGACGCCTCTCTGTCTCTGTTCCAGGGTTGGAGAAAGTCGGCCGTGACTCCACCTACGAGCAGGAAGGGAAGGTTCAGTTTGTGATGGACGCCGTGTACGCCATGGCCCACGCTCTGCACCACATGCACCGCGAGCTCTGCGCCGGATACCCGGGCCTCTGCCCCCGCATGGCCAACATCGATGGCAAGGAGCTGCTGGCCCACATCCGCGCCGTCGGCTTCAACGGTAGGACCTGTATCATTATTCAATCACCATGTGTCGTGTTTCTCAACTCATTGACATTTCTTTTAATGTGACCATTGGGCCAGAGCGCTTCTCCAACATTGAAAATGAACTTTGAACTTAAACTTCCTTAAAGGAGACAATTTCAGGTTCATACTTCAGGTTTCTACCAGATTATATTTAATGCTTCAATGTTAAGAAAATAGTTTATTTTTCTCAAGCTTTCTGAATAACTATAGAAACAGACAATCTTCTCTCTGATGGTCTTATTTACTGAAAGTCATATAGAGGCATCAGCATTAAATTGTTTCATAACCAGTTAAAAGTTCCTCACAGTAACTTTAAGTAAGCATTCTGAAAACGTCCCCACTCATAGGTCAGGTGTAAAATGCATCAGGAACGTTGGCTATGTTCACAAACAAACACCATCTTTAGAGATAACCACCAAACTACATGTGCAGAAGCTCAGTGGCTGTTTGTACCAGACAGCTTCAAGTGTGATCAACACCAACAGTGCTCTCAGTGAAGTCTCCCTAAATGAACAAAACTTATACATTCTATATAGAGAAGCTGTTTCAATCCACCCAACCACACAAATATGTGATGCATCACCTAAATTGAAAAATCTGAGTTGAATTAAGATGTTGGTACATTTCTTAAAGCAAGTCTGTGTAACTGGTGATGGAGCCATTTGGTTTGCTGTGAGTTTGAATCATCACCGCCTCCACAGTCGACACCTCAAACAAGTTCTCTGCGTCTTAGCACTTTTCTGACAAATATTTCTTCTTGAATTTCTTCTGCGTTTTCGTGAGCCGAGACTCGAAATTCCAAGATTGACGACGTTTTAATGAACCGGGAACGAGGAAGCGGTTGACTTCGGTCATGAGGTTTCTCTGATGGAACATTGTGACACGGTAGCACGAGAGAAAGAAAGACCATATTTCTTTCCCCCTAGATTGTTTTTTGTGATCTTTTTCTAAACCTAACTAAGTATTTTACAATATTTTCCAAAACACAGCAAAGTATTTACATTTACAAAACAGAAATAACATTTATTTTTACAAACAAGACTTGAAATGATGAAGACACTTGCAAATGACAAGGTGGTATAAAAGTTGTTTTTTTGCCTAAACCTAACAGAGTTAACAAACTTTTCACAACATATCATACGAACCGTTGTACGAGGACATGTTGGATTCATTGGAATATAGAATAAAAAGGATAATTCATGATTTATTAGGTTTGACTATGTTCGGACATGTGAGGTGAACCTTCGCTCTCTGGTTGAATCAACGCCGTCCGTGGGTTTCACAAAAGCTTTGATGGAGCTCATTTTCCCACTCTGGCTTCTGAACGGTTGCATTCATCGCCAAGGACGTCATTCTTTTCACGACGTTGGTTGGAGAATTTCTCTCATTTAAAGTGATAAAGAAAACAAAAAAACACGTTTCAGACAAAGACGAAGATGAAATGTGACTTTTTCATTTCTTTTTCAAGGTGAGTGTGTTCGTTAATACCATTTAATATATCAACACGATCACATAATATAACCCTCGACTCCCTCACAAAAGAACATAAAGTCAGTGAATAATTCACAACAAATGACAACAAGAGACATGAAGAGAAATATCAAAAAGTAAAAGGCAAATAACCCCCAATCAAAGGAAACATTTGCAGCTTCTTAACTGTGATTTTTTTCCCCGCTTTTTATCCGTCTTTAAAATCATTTTCAAACTGAATATTTTGAGGTTGTGGACTGATGGTCGAACAAAACGCGGCATTTGAAGACGTCACTGCGTGTCTGCACACATCACTTCTGGTGAAATCTTTTCCGGTAGCTTCCACTCCACCGTGAATTCCCGTAAATTATAATACTTGAGATTGGAGATCTTCTCCTCCTTATAGCCCCGTATGTCTCCTCCTCCTCTTCCTCCTCCCAGCCTCCTACCTGCACACAGGGGATAAATTGAAAAATTTGAATAATTTTTCTTTCCACCTGCTCAGCACAGAGAGATACAGGACGCCGACTAAACGAAGGAAGAGGAGGAGATTGAGCCGATTCTGTGGCTGTGCTGAGCTCTCAGGGATTCGTCTCTCTGATGGATGTGAGGAGCTGCTGGATGTTATTTCTGCAGGAGGAGGAAGAGGCACATTAAACATTGAAAACATTGAATCCGTGGTGGGTTTCACCCACCGGCCTGAAACTGTAAATCTGTGCACAGTTAAAGTCAGCGTTGAGGCGCCGCACGCCGTGGTTTTTTAAACATTAAACAGTTAGTCGCCTCGTTCGGTGAATTAGAAGCAAACGGGGGCAGAGACAGGAAACCTGTCACAGAGGCGAAGATTAGTCAGTCATCTTTCAGATTAAAGCCCGGAGGAGGAATCTTATTAAGAAGGAATTCAGGACAATAAAGCACATTCAGGAAATGATGTGTGTGTGTGTGTGTGTGTGTGTGTGTGTGTGTGTGCGTGTGCGTGTGTGTGCGTGTGTGTGTTGCTGTTCTTTGTGAGGACCAGTGGGAACTTCCGGGTCTCTTGTCTCCCAGTTGCCTTCTGCCGGTTTTAGACACAGAACTTGCTTTAGTTGTGTAATATATCACTTTGACAGAACTAATGCGGCCTCTATGTTCAAAGTTGCATCACTGTTGCTTGGTAACACTTACAGAAGTTAATGGAAATCAATGGCTTCCAAGAAACTAGGTGAAATGGAAACAAAAATGAAACTGCAAACAAGTATGTGATGCAAATATAGTAACTTTAATTCTTCTGGTAAGGAGGAGGTACACCTCTTAACTGGAAGGCCTCTTTCTCTTTGAAGTCGTTTTGCGTCTTTCGTTCGTTGTTTTGTTTCTCTTTTTAGTTGGTTGCATCTCTCCCTCGTGTCTCTTTGTGATTGTTTGGGACCTTTTCATAGTCTTTGCAAGTCTCTTTGTGATCTCTGTAGTTCTTATGGAGTGTTGTATTGCTGTAGTTTCTTATTGAGTCATGTTTCTCTTTAAATTACATTTTGGAGGTGAAGGCCCCTGACACTGTTGGCCCTTGGGTCTGTGCCCCCTAGGCCCGTTCACTAATCCATCCATGCCTCCAACCTATTTTCAAAATTGACATAAGTAACTGACAGTTAAGCAATATCACTCTTTATTATAGCCTACATAATTATAAACCTATATTTAATATCCCAATGTTTTCCACTTTGCTGCTGTAATCCTGCAAATTTCCCCGCTGTAGGACCATAAAAGATTATCTTATCTTAAAATTACACATTTGCTGATGTAGAAATAACAACGGCAAATCTTACCTCCACTGGAGCATATCGGGGTTAAGTGCCTTGCTCAAGGGCACCTCTGTGGTGGTAATGAGGGAGGAGCAAGAGCTTATTGCTGAAACATCAATTTATTAGGTACATAAACCTTCCTATAGATCGGTTTCTTTGAGGAATTACTACTCCATAAGGTGCCAAGAGTTCTCATCTTCACTCTGGGTACCAAAGATCGGCTTCATTTTCTAATTCAAAGGACTCGACTCTGAACTGAAGACAGTGTTAGCGAGTTGAACTGCAGCCTCGGAGAACATCTCCTCTGTGAAGCTCCAGGTCGCAGCTTCTGCAGCAGCACACCTGCATCACGACCAAATCCTGGCTCAGCAGCATGTGGTTTGTGCCTGATTGAGCCTATTAAGGCCCCCCCCCCCCCTCACACACACACACACATGCGTCACGCTGCTTTTGGGGCTTTCTCCGGCATGAATCTGTGAACAGCATGCTCGGTTAAACCTTCACATACATCAACCGTTGACATAAATCAAACTCGAGCTGCATCTCTGTCTTTCTTATGCTTCACTTCTCTGAACGCGGGGGCAGCGGGGTTACCCATAATTCCCATAATTCCATGTATGAAATGCAGCGAAATCCAGGACGAAGTGACGGCGGGCCCGGGGGCTGATCGCCAACTCACCCATGCTCTCCTCGCCCGTGTGCTTATTTTTAGAGGAGCGTCGGGAGGCCAATCGAGATGCTTGTGCTAATGTTAGCGCTGGCTGCGCTAAAGCCGGCCCCCATTGTAATGTCCTGGTTGAACACGATCGGCAGAGTGAGGCATGGGGGGGACGTCGGAGAGATTCCCCCCTGATTCATTTGGACAGCAGATGCTTACTAAGAGGCGATAAAAGCTTGTTGTTGCCGTTTCTAACAGGGATGCAGCATGACTGACCCTGTGGAGCTGCAGGAGGAGAAACCCTTTACAGTCGGATCAGTGGTGGGGGGAGGAGGGGAGGGGGGGGGGAGCAGATACTGTAGGTGAGTGAAGTGATGAATGTGTGAAGAGCTCATCTCCCGCTAGGACTTCACTTCAAATATGCAGCTTTTTCACAAACTGCTGAACAAAGCAGGAAGAGGAAACAACCAGAAAGAGCTCAGCGGCTTTGTTTCTGCACCTGGAGATTAAAGGAGCGGTTCTCCCTCTCCTTTCCTTTCTGTTCTAAATGAAATATCTTGCTTTCTAAAGACTGTTGCTCGGAGTTTACAGGTTTATTTAAGTGTTCTCTATATTCAGTGGGGTTCGGTTTCTCAGCCTCCATTAAAACATTATGAGGTCAACTGTTGTACAGCCTAAGCTATCATGTCCAGGGCTGTTATCGTGAAAGGTGAGAATGCAAGGAGTCGATGCGATGCCGTCCGGTTCAGACTACGTGTCTGCAACTCAGTGTTGCTGTACATCTATAGTTTCGAATATGTCCGTTCAACAAAACGTGATTGGTTGATATCAAACCTCAGGAAGATCGACCTCGTTCCAAAAAGAAACGACTTTGCTGTTTCACTGCGTAAAATGTTACTCATCAAACGTGCAAATTAATCGTACAAAAAAAGTTCTTTAAGCTTAGCTTCATTTTGTTTTATCAATAAATATATATATACAGTATATATATATACATATATGCAAATCATTACATGAAGTCGTTCATATTTCATGACTTTTTATTGACGTCTAACGACTTCTGTGGGATTT